AAATAATGAAATAAAAACATTCGCTTCTGTGATTTGAATTCTTCTCATATAGATCGTAATATTCAAACCAGCAGATGGATTAACGGTCATAAAGCCGAGTTGTATGACCATGTATAAGCTTGAGATATTCTGTCGGTTAGTATGTTGAAATAATCATAAGAAAGATTTGACTATGATACACGAAAGAAAAAAACGCTTAAGAAACTTCATTGAGGGGAGGAAGAAAAGCTGAACCCAAGTCTGACCGAGCCTTACTGAGCTCTACCGAATCTAACCGAGCCCGAGCCCCATCAAGCCCGAGCCTGCCCGAGCCCAACCGAGCCCGAGCCTGACCGAGCCCGAGCTACTCGGGCTCGGTACATGCCTAATTATAACCTTAAGACTTCAGTTAGATTGTTGAAATCATTTTTCAAATGAAATTCATTCTTTCACTCCCACCAGAGAATAACAGCTAATTTGAACTGACCTAGACATAGCATCATTTTTTTGAGAGAACCGATTTCATTCTTTTGTTTTGTTTATGATAAAAAAGAAACTTTCATATTTTACTTTCGAGTTTTTGGATAATACATATGTTCCTGTTTGAGATCATTTTGATATTCAGCTTGAACATTTTCCCAATATTTAGGCCAAGCATTTGATACCCAATCAATTTCACGTACCTGATAGAAAAAAGAAAATTCTTCTTTTTTTTTCCGTAGAAAAACTTCAAATTGAATTATAAACTAACAAGCAATGGTGATTCAACATATTTTTCAAGTTTTGTATGACTAAATTCAAGTGAAATAACATTTAATAATTGAGAACGTTTTTCTGGTGATTGATCATAATAATCTGTCCATGATTTCATTGTCATTTGTGATGATTCTTGAGTATCAACATGAACAACATCAATGAGACGTTGAGAACCAATACATGAACGAACGTCATGAATTGTGAAATGAGATGTTGGAACTTGAAGGCCTAAACCACGATGTTGTTTTATAATTATTGGATTTGGAAAACCGGTACGTTGAATATAGGATACATTGAATTCTAGGTTTATAGAAAAAAGAAATGTAAAAGTCTATAAAATAGTACTAAGTTTATGTATCCCGATGTAATAATTTATGTAAACAAGGAAAAAATAATGTTTTCCGAAATCTTCTGCGTCTAACCCTGGCTTTGATCGCTTAGAAATGATACGTCGAGTACCTACAGAGATCAATTTGTTTTTGTTCTAGTCATATAACTCAGCAAATCCTATTAGAATTCATAATTCTCGAGTACACGCAAAATCTATATGAATGTGTCGAAATTCATGATCGGCATTGGTAGGACTTCTATTTTTAGGGCTTATCTTAGAACAATTTTTTCTATAAAATTAAGTCTTAATTTTTATATTTATTTTGGTATGCACTATACCGGCGGACATCACCGGGAGTGACAAAAAAAGACCTGCACATAAAGAACTAGTTAACCTACTATTGAATCAATTTGATGTCTATGATTTCATATATTCGAACAACTATGGAAGTATCCTTAATCAATAAGATAAGAAAAGTATTTGATTGTCAATTATTACAATTCAAAAAGTAAAATTGCTATAATAACAAGACTGATTCCATTAAAAATGTATCAAAGTTTTATATAGAAATACAAACCATCAGCTGTTAGTTCTTCAACAAATTTGCCTTGGTAATTATCTGGAGCATTTAATTTTACTTCTATGTTCCATTTTTGTCCTTTTTCCAATACTTCTTCAAAGAAATCGTCATCGTCCACATAATTCTTCTTAACTCGTGTACGCTAAAAAAAACTTAATTTTAAATTAATTATTTTATTTATTCATCATCGTTGCTTAGATATATTAAATCACCAAAATATTCACGAAAATGATTCAATCACTTAAAACTGTTAATGGAAATCTAATTCATTGAATTATCGTATTTCTAAAAAGATTTCATTGGAAAACAAAAATTGATCGTATGATTCACAGAAGCACGTTTCCTATTTCACTATCCACAAACCTCAATATTAAATAGACATGCACCGAACTTGAACGTTCGAGTTTAGTCTTAACTGCGATCATTTTCAGTCAATTAATAAAAAAAAAATAAACGTAAGGTAAACGAAAGTATTTAGGCTTGGCTATGATAAATCTATACACAGTAGAATAAATAATTTAAAAACTGAAAGTTTGCAGGTATACTAAAAAGTAAAAAAAATTTCAGAAATACTCGAGTCGAACTTTAGAGTGCTTCTATGAGAGCCCATAAGACTCGACCTATGGAATGAATTTGTAAATGATCTCATTGGTAAAGAACAAGTTTGTATACACCTGGTCAAAAGTATAGGTCAGAGACGCGATTCCGCTTCCATTGTGTAAGTAGGAAGAGAATCATGTTAGATAACAATGGATGGCACCTATTCAGAATTTTCTTTGTACTTAAGCCATCAAAGCAGCATTGTATCTCTGACTTACACTTTTCACCAATTATACACACCAACATTCTCAATGCTCTAGCATTTATAATGGCCAAGATCCTCTAAAGTGGAGAGTGTAAGGCTTCATGCTCAATTTGAAGAGTTTACTAAACATCTATATTTATACGCACAACTAATATTTGTTGTCCTTTAATAGACAGTTAAAATATTTTCTGGACCTCTCTAAGTTATTTCATAATGACACTAATAAATTTAATTTAGCGATTTTATTTTGCAGCCTTCTACACTCGGACTAATTGATGTCACCTAATTATCGTTCAATAAATTTTCGCATACTCATTTATGTCAATAGAATAAATTTTTTTGAATAGAAAAATTCAGCTGAACACAAAATTTTAAAAAGTTATTAATTTAGAACTTATGCGCAATTCTTCTAATTGTTTTTTAGTAGCATCATGCAAAATAAAAATGCAGGCTGACTTCTTTCTATCAAATTATTACTTTTAAGAGAAAGAAAAAGAAAAACAACATTAATATTATTTTTTTTTTGCTCTTGCACTTTTACAAAAAAAGAATTTGAGTTTGTAATACCATTAAGTATTCTGCATCAATACTAAAGAGCTATTTCAGGTTTTGTTTTTCAATAGTAGGATAGTAACGCTTGACATAAATAATGTTTGCAAAAGTTTATTGATTACAACTAATTCAACTATTTCAAGCAAACTTTAGTAGTTAATAATAAACTTTTAGGCTACTTTGTTTTAAATCGTACATAAAGGCTTTTTATTTGGTTTAATTTTTATATAATGTCATGCAAATTGGTGAGTCGAACAATTTTATTTTTAAATAGAAATTGTAAACATGTCAGAGAAACATGTGCTTTTTTTCATATTACATTTCGCACTATAGAAAACCTCTCTCCTTTGTAGAGACGATGGACTAGATGTAATAGGAGATGCGCCTTGCTCAAATAATCTCACGAAAAAATTTGAAACTTTTATTAGTATATTTACATCGAAAGATGATTAATGTACGCACCAGAATAAAACAAAGATGATGTGACTTTCAGCTATAGAAAGAACAGAATTTCGGACGCTGTTTTGTTTTATACTATATCAGAGAAAACTATTTTAAAACCACGTCATCTTCGCACAGTATTCAAAGAAAAGCACGAAAAAAAAATATTCTGTTTCGATCGAACTTTGATTCTGACATGTGCTTCAGATCTGCAGGGTGTTAAAAAACAATTACGCCCCCCTCTACAACTTAAAGTATCAATGATATCACAAATGTATTTTTACACCGAATTAAAGCGCGTCAAAAACTGGATTTATTGGTATTAAATAGTAAAAGTTATGAAGACCTTTTGACGTCGAACTTAAAAAATTTTCAGAATTTTTGATACTTTTTTGGTGTAGAAAATTAATGTACCAGTAATTCA